ACACACAAATAAATAAAGTGTGGTACATATACACAATGGAATATTATATAGCCCTAACAAGGAAGGAAATCCTGTCATTTGCAACAACATGGATGGAACTGAAGAAAATTATACTCAGTGAAATGAGCTAAAAACAGAAAGATAAATCTTGCATGTTCTCACTCATATGTGGGAGCTAAATATTAAATACAACTGATCTCATAGAGAAAGAGAGAAAGTACTTTCATAGTTCCTAGAGGCTGGGAAGTGTAGTGGGCAGGGATAAAGTGAAGATGATTAATGGGTGCAAAAATATAGTGAGATAGAATGAACAATATTTGATAGATATATAATGAACAATAGTTTAGGATATGCTTTAAAATAACTAAATAAGTGGAATTGGAACATTCCCAACACAAAGAAATGATAAATGCCTGAGGTGATGGATACCCCATTTACTCTGATTTGGTTAATTCACATTCTACACCTGAATGGAAACATCACGTGTACCCTATAAAGATATATATAATAGTACCCATAATAACTAAAAATTAAAAATAAAAGCAGTAAGTTAGGGTATACTTTAAAATAAATAAAAGAGTGGAATTAGAATGTTTCTAACACAAAGCAATGATAAATACCTGAGGTGATGGTACCCCAGTTACCCTGATTTGATTATTAAATGTTATAGGCCTGCATCAAAACATCCCATGTGCCCTATAAATACATACTACTGTTATATGCCCATGATAATTGAAAATAAATATAAAACATGAACATGATGACCCAGAATTATGGATATGGAAAGATGTTTGTAATATATTAAATGAAAAGAAGCAGGCTAGAAATAGTCCATATGGTGAGGGTTCCATTTTAATTTATTTCCATTGAAAAGAACAAAAAATACTGTAAATAATGTCAAAAGACAAACTAGAAAACTATTAATATATTTGGAATACAAATGACAATGGGTTGGTTTTCTTGCTATATCAAGAGCTATTAAGTGTCAATAAGAAAAATTTCAAAAATTCATTTCCAACAGGGGAAAAGACTAGTTCACCATAAAAGAAAAGTAAGAAGTTTTCAAATTTATGTGTGAGAAAAAAAAGTCAAATTAATATATAACATACCTTTTCGACTACCAGATTGACAAAGATCAAAAACTCTTATATACATTTTAGCAAGGATATGAAAATAAAGGTCCTCCCTGAATTACTAGTCGGATTATAAAATAGTACAACCTTTCTGGATGGCATCTGGATAATCTCTATCAGTGTTTAAAATGTACATCCTTGGACTGAACAATTCTGCCTTTAAGAATTTATCCTATATGTGTCCAAAGCTCTATGTCCAAGAGCATTCTCTGTAGCGTCATAGCTCCAATGTGGTAAGAAGTAAAGAACTGTAAACTAGAACAGATGATTGAATACTTTAAAGCACATACATACAATAAAACCTGGGCTAGGTCTGTATGTATTAACATGGAAAACCCATCAAGCCATTAAAAGGAAGTTTCTTAGTAAGTAATTTGCAAAGTATACCACTACCTATGTAAAAGAAAGGGGAGAAACATGTATGTCTTTATATGCACTGACTACATTGGGAAAATACAGGATGAACTAGAAATGGCTGTCTCTTGAGAGGGAAGATGTGGACTGGTAGTGAGGGGGCAGTGATTGAGTTGTTTTTGTTTTTACCCTATATACTACATTGTTCGGGTTTTGGAAAAAAGTATATGCCTATAGGACTTTTCCAATTATATGCCGATAGGATTTTCCAAGTATCTGTAAATGTAAACTTTTAAATACATACACACAGAGGGAAATGTGCACAAACATATGGAAATACCTTTCCTGAAAGTTTGTGTTGAAATATGTGCATGCTGCTGAGGAAAATTCAGGCATTTCCAAAAAGCATATGGAAGAAAATAAAAAAATGATTCATACTCCCACCATTCACAATAGCCATAGCTAACAATCTCGTACTGCCAGTTGTCCAGGCTTTGTTCATATGTGTGTGCAGATGCACGCAGGTGCACACACATGTGCATATGTCTGTGCATGTTTCTGTATTTGTGCATTGACTCCAATCTAGGTATGCAGGCTTAAAGACCATGTCTGAAATGAGACTGACTATACATAAAGTGTCTTGGTTGCTTCCCAACTAATCTTTGCAGAAGACATCCAAGGCAGATTTATTTTTATTTATTATTTATTTATTTATTTATTATTTATTTATTTCAGCATATTATGGGGGTACAAATGTTAAGGTTACGTATATTGCCCTTGTCCCCTCTCCCCCCTCGGGTCAGAGCTTCAAACATGTCCATCACTCAGATGGTGCGCATTGCACTCATTAGGTATGCGTATACCCATCCCCTCCTCCTCCCCCCTTCCATCTGCCCAACGCCCGATAAATGTTATTCCTTTATGTCCACTTAGGTGTTGATCAGTGAAACCAATTTGCTGGTGAGTACATGTGGTGCTTGTTTTTCCATTCTTGGGATACTTCACTTAGTAGAATGGGTTCCAGCTCTATCCAGGAAAATACAAGAGGTGCTATATCACCATTGTTTCTTATAGCTGAAGAGTACTCCATGATATCATCATAGCTTTTTGCAATCTCACACTCCCAGGCTCCAGTGCTCCTCCTGTCTCTGCCTCCTAAGTAGCTGGGACTGCAAGTGCCTGTCAACATGCCTGGCTAATTTTTTCTATTTTTTGTAGAGACTGAGTCACACTCTTGCTTAGTTAGATCTGTCTCAAACTCCTGAGGTTCAAGTGATCCTCCTGCCTCGGCCTCCCAAAGTGCTAGGATTACAGTGAGCCAGCCTGCCTGGCCTGTGATTTCTGATTTATGCTTTTTTCTTGCTTTTGGAGACCTAAGATAATAGTGTTTGATCTCTTACAAGATCATGAGAAGAAGTTTTGGATTTTTGGCTTTGCTGCTCCCTATAGCTTATTAACATTTAGAAGTATTGCTGCATTTCCCAAATACATACACGAATAATTGGCAATGAAAGCCTTGAAGGTTTGAGAAAGTGGTGTGCTCACATGATTAGGTTGTTACTTCCTGGGTTCTTCTAGAAGCATACTTTCACATAGGATGTTTTTTATTTGTATGTGTCGAGACAACTGTTTTGAATATCCCTGGTCTGACATCTGTAATGAGGGTGCTCTAGCGCCTCTTCTAGATGCCCACCTCTTAGATGCTAGTCTGTCATTAGCACCTGGACAACAGAGTGAGACCCTGTCTCCAAAAAAACAAAAAACAAAAACAAAACCCAATCACAAAGGAATTATAAAAATAATGAAAGCGGGCTTTAATATTGTGTACAGAGATGCATATGTGGTGATGTTCTCTCCAGTCCTGTTTGTAAAATTCAAACAAAATAAAAACAGGATGCCACAAGTAAATTTCCAATTATACACAAATTATTATATCACTATGCTATATCTGTATATCAATATAAATACTATGTGCCCTTAAACAGGATATGGTAATTCTAAATATTTTGATATGTAAAGATGAGTATAATCTATTGTTAAGTTTTACAAAAGGAAGATGGTTTCCAGACCAATATATGGAATATGAATCCACTGACTCAAAAAAAATTTCTGTGATTTAACAAATATTTTTCTTTATATATGTATAGGAAAAGACTATGCCCCATAATGTTAACTGCTACCTCCAGCGTGAGACTACACAGTGGACAAAAACTTTATACTTCATGCACTTTACTTTCCTTGAAAACTCTTGTTAGATCAATGAGCACATATTTCTTTTCTGATGAGAAAAGAAATTTACAAATCTGCCAGCAGATTTTTCTCCCCTTATACGTCCTTAGGCTACATCATTTTCTTCCCTCTACAAACCAGGAACTATGCAAAATTGCCACTGCCAAGGAGGCTCTGGGAATTTTCCAGGTGCAATTGCTTATCTTGACTAAAGCAATCTGTTTTGGCATATGTCCTATCTCAGCTACTGGCTGAGATGGTTCCTAATCATTTCTGTTTGAGAGACCCAAATATCCTTACATAGGAATATTGACTGAGAAAATACATAAGTGCTATATCTGTGTAGGTATGTCTTGTGTCACTTCCAAGTGACAGCTTGGCAGCCCAGCCCAGAAGAGGCCAGACCAACCCCTGGCCCAAGCCCAACCCCTGTATTTCAACTCACGGAAATCTGCCTCTGCTTGGCACCAGCTCTGTGCCTTGCAAGCATCTAGGACCTTTACACTCTGCCTATGGCAGATCGATCAATCAATAGATCGATTGGGAGTTACCACTCACTCCCCTGAGGAGATCCCGAACACTGGTGGGAAGAAGCCAGACACCAAGGGTGTAAACGTGCGGTGCCCTGGGTGCGACCTCCAGGACCACACAAAACTCATCCATGGTGACACATACCAGAACCAGGCTTGCAGGAGCGGGAGGGCGGAGGTGGAATGGCAAAGGGCACCAGGACTTTTCTGGGTAATGGAATTAGTATCTCCCTGAGGGTAGAGCTTATGCACAGGTGTAGACAGACATTAGTCGTAATGCCCTGATGTGTGCTCTTTAGACACACAAATGGACGCGTTTCACTATGGAAATTTTGTCTTACTTTAAAAAGTAACCGTGGCGTGAACATCACCAGCTGCAGAACGCATGTGTACTGTATGGTATCACTGTAAAAACATGAAATGAATGTGTGTTTTGCTTAACACGCGCTCACACGCTCATGGAAAGGCACTTGGGTGCTGCCCATCGGGAGAGGGGTCCGGCCATCCAGCATCCGGGTGGCAGGAGGGGCGCGTGGCGCTGGGGAAACTCAGTGACGCGGAGGGAGAAGGGCCACCACCAGGGTGGGCGGAGCGCGGGCCGTCGTGGGGTGACCAGGGCGCGGTCACTGGACAGCGCCCAAGCCAGGCCCAGGCCCGGCCGCAGCGTTTCCAGGCAGCGCCTGCCCCCTGGGGACGCTCTGAGCCCCGTTGCCTAGAAACGCCCCATTGTGAGCCTGGTTGTCCTTTGTTGTAGCAACCGCGTCTCCCTAGGTCCTCAGACTGGACTCGGATCCGACTGCGAGGCACACTTCTCGGAGCCGAACAGGTCAGTTCTATGACCCAAAGCGATGTCGTCCTGGTTGGGTGGGCCTGGCTCTGGCTTAGACCACTTCCTGGGGTAAGTGGGCAGCCGTGTGACTATCTTGAGGGACACAGAACTTAAGGAACCTATTAGACAAAATGAGAAGGAGGCACTTTCTAGAGTAGGAAATAACACCACCTCTTAAGACTCTAACAGTAATTTTAAGGATGACTTACTTAAAGACAGGGAAACCAAAGTGAGAAACTTAAAGCTCAGTCTTTCAGAAATGAAACAGCTCAATGAAAATTTAAAGAGTTATTTTTTATCTCAAAATGGAAAATAAAACGTTGGTTTCAGCTTGTGAAGACGGAAGACACGTACACTCCCAGCTCTTTTCAGCCAATAATTAAGAAATGAAGAATTTGGAAAACAAAAACAGAACAAAGATCAGTGAAAGGGATGAAAGAACAAGAACTGGACATGAAAGTTCTGGATGAAAAGAACATGTCTTTAACTAAAACGATGGAGGAGCTGTGCAGTGCTGAGATTTTCCAGCGGAAGGATTGGAGACACAGGGTCCTCGCCCTAGAGCTCCTGCAGCTTCCTACACCCACCATCGCTTTGCTTCAGCAGCAACTCCAAGCACGTGCTTTGGAAAAAAAGTTAATGTTAGCTGTTTGGAATGCGAAGGCTAATGAAAACAGCTATCTCAAAAGAGAGAATCACCAAAGGACGGACATCACTGTTGCCAAAGAAGCAGCCATCAGCAAGCCGCAAGATGAAAATAAAAAATTGTCCACTAGCCTTAGAAGTAGCGGTCATGATGAGACGTTCAGAGACACCATTCAGCATTCATCACATCTCATTAGAGAAAAAGGGCTTGAAATAGATGCATTAAGTCAGAAGTGTCAGACTTTGGTCACCATTTTGCAAACATCCAGCACTGGTAATGACATAAGAGATATTGATAGTAACAGGTTTGAGGAACTTCTAGAGGAACATGAGAAATCAAAACACCAACTTGGGAACATGGCAGAGTGGCAACAGCAGGTAGTGAGCACAGTACGAAATGTGCAGCATGAGGCAGCCCAACTTCAAGAGGCACAAATTCAGCACAGCACAGGGCAGCTGCAACAGGAAGGTCAGTCTTTTAGGGCAACTCGATATTCTGTCATAGCCGTGTGTGGAATCATCAGTCTGGCCACAGCCAGCCCAATCTCCTGAGGCAGGTAAGTCTGCTGTATTGAGGGAACCTTCGAAACTGCTTCAAGAAGAGATTGACAAAGTGAGAAAATCAGTGCTAGAAAAAGAGGCAAGCGTTAGAACCTTCCAGGAAGATAATCAGAGACTCTCTGATTCAATTGCTGCCACCTCAGCATGAGCAAGAAAAGCACTTGAACAAATGCATTTGGAAATTACTCAGCTGAAGGAGAAACAAAATATTCTACACATGTTACTTAAGGGGAAGAACCTTTTCAACAAAGCCAAAAATAGTCATGTTCTGCCGGGAAAAATCTCACTAATGAATGAAAATGAGATTTTGAGGCAAGCAGTCAGCAACCTGAAGGAGAGAATGTCAGTTTTACAAATGGACATGTCCTGAAAAATTGTATGCCAAAAGTTTCCTCAAAGGAGAATGTCATTGATGTAATCTCATAGTTGTATTCCAGGAAACAGGTGGATGCAGTTAAGATCCTGCCTGTAAAGATTGCATGGGATGGCAGAGCTGTCTGGGTAGCCTGTGGGCAGCAAGGTAAAGATGCATTGTGTCTCTTTGGAGGTGAAGGCAAACTGTGGCTGAGAGGCTTTTGAAATAGTCAAGAGCACATTAGCCAAAACTATAACAACAAAATATCTCTTTTAAATGTAGTGGGGGCCGGGCACCTTGGCTCACGCCTGTAATCCCAGCTCTCTGGGAGGCCGAGGCGGGCGGATTGCTCGAGGTCAGGAGTTCGAAACCAGCCTGAGCAAGAGCGAGACCCCGTCTCTACTATAAATAGAAAGAAATTAATTGGCCAACTATATATATATAGAAAAAATGAGCCTGGCATGGTGGCGCATGCCTGTAGTCCCAGCTACTCAGGAGGCTGAGGCAGGAGGATTGCTTGAGCCCAGGAGTTTGAGGTTGCTGTGAGCTAGGCTGATGCCAGGACACTCACTCTAGCTGGGGCAACAAAGTGAGACTCTGTGTCAAAAAATAAATAAATAAATAATAAATAAATAAATAAATATTAATTAATTAAATGTAGTGGGATTCTCAAGCATTTAAGGGTCCCCCACCACCAACAACCCAAAGAAATTTCTTCAAGTCACAGATTTTTTTGTCTCCATCAGCTCACATGTGCTGTGGATCTTCTGGGTGGTCATGTGGAAAGGAAGCCAGCGGCCAGGCCTGTAGGGTGCTGTCCTCCTCCTCTAGGGAATGCCAGTCCTTCTCCCCAGGGTTGGGATTCACATCCAGCGAGTTCATTTTGTCTGTGGTCCAGGTTAAAGTCATCAAGCCCCTTGATCATGAGTTTAGTTCTTTGGCATCCTGTGCTAAGCACAGCCCCATTGTGTTGGCTTGGGGTTTTTGCATTAGGAAAGCAGTTGAATAGCAAATGCCCCCCATGACAGTTTTGTTTTTTATCATTAGTACCTGGGCCACTGACTGCCATTGGCACACACCTCTTAGGGGTCAGGAGAGCACAGGACAGCAGCAAGGGAAGCGGCAGCACAGCAAACATCACTACCCTTGCCTGAACAACAACTGTTAGGAGGCAACCAGGGAGCCATTCTAAAATCTTCCCCAGGGCGATGGCCTCCTTCCACTCCACAAAATCAAAGGTTGTCCCCAGGACTGCACTGGGGTGTGTTTTCCCAAACCATGTCTGTATGGCTGCCCCAAGCAGCCAGTGATGGTCATCAGGTTAGACACAGTGAGCAAAGAGCTCTCACCTGACTCCCAGTGAGCGGAACTCAAGCACCCACCAGAAAGGATGTTGTGTTGTTGCTGCCCCCAGGTGGAAGCCTCAGAGAATACCTGTCTGACACAGGCCACACTTGATGGCACCTCACACCAGGATATGGTCAATTAACAGTAGGGTGGGAAGAGATGACCACATCTAACTGAGATAGCAGAACTCATTAGCTGAGGCGCAAGCTGGCCACCAAGCGGCAGTCACGGTCACTGCTGCCTTATAAAACCAGTTAATTAGCAAAGGAACAGTTATTTAACGTTGACCCAGGTGTCCTCAGTCAAGGACCAGCCATGCTGATTGTGATGCCAATTGTTTTCTTAGGGATTCCCACTGTAGAGATATGGGGATGGACGAGCGCACAAGACCTGACACTGGAGAGATGCGATCAACAGTAGTTTACATATACTCACAGGCCATGGGTGGAGGACACTGCACACTATGCAGGGACACATGGGGTTGCACTCCAGAACAGAGTGAACATGCAGGGACTGGGCAGGGTGACCTCTGGTTCCCACAAGATGGTGCGATTGGCGTGTCTAAATAATTCCTCCTTTAACTGGCAGGAAACTGAAACCCACTGGCTGGGGATAAACAGACGCTATGTCTGGTTCCTGTAATAAGGGCAGGCCATTTAGCTAGGGGATTTTACCTGTGGGAGCAGAGAAGGAGGGGAACTTGTCATTTGGGCATTGGAGGCCCTTCAGATTTTATCAGTCAGGACAGCATTTAATATGGATCCTGCTTTCAGGCCTTATACCACAACAAACTATTAAAAAGTAATTCTTTCCAGAACTACTAATTGAATTCAGCAATGTCACAAGATACAAAATAAATATTCAGAACTCAATTGTACCTCTCTGTACTAGCAATGAACACGTGGACACCAAACTAAAAATACATTGATGATCACTAGTAAAACTGAAATACTTAGGTCTAAATCTAACAAAACATGTGCAAGACTTGGATGATGAAAATTACATGATGCTGACAGAGGAAATACAATAAATAAATGGAGACACATATCATGATCGTGGATTGGAAGACTAAACATACTGAACATGTCAGTTCTCCCCAAACTAATATAGAAATTTAATGCAATTCCTATCAAAATCCCTGCAAGATTTTTTGTAAGAATAGACAAAACTATTATGGAATTTATTATAAAATACATATAGAATAGCTAAAACAACTTTGAAAAAGAATAAAATGAGACAGTCTACCCAATATAAAAAAATTATTATATAGCTATAGTAAGACTGTGCAATATTTACAGAGAGACAGACACACAAAGGAACAGAACAGAGAACCCAGAAATAGTCACACACAAATAAACCCACCAGTCTTTGACAATGGTGCAAAACCAAATCAGGGGAGGAAAGACAGCCTTTTCACCAGGCTATAGCTACGTCCGGCGTGTGAGAAAATCACGGGCCCCAAACTGGGGAAACAGGACAGCACAGAAGGTAGATAGCGGTTTGACTGCGATTCTATTAGGTGGTGCTGGGAGAGGAGGAAGAGTTTGCAACCAGTTCCCAAGGAGAGCTGCAAGGGCTTTCCATCTTTCTGAATGCAAGAACCTGTACCCGAAGGTGCTATGTGACTGCTTCTGATTTATCACCTTCACAGATGCTAGAGACGTTCCCGTTCCGCTCCCACACTGCAATCCCGAGTCACCCCAGACCCCGTTAACCTTTCCCAATAGCATCATTCTCCGGCTAGCAAGACTTACGTAGCAAGAAGGCCCTCAGTAGCTTCCAAGGCCTTGGGTCCAGGCCTGCCCAAGAACTTCTGCGCTGTGTGGGCGGGGCCAAAAGAAACATCCAATGAGCGCCTCCGCGGGCTGAGAGGGCGGGGAAACTGCCCAATGAGCGTCACGGCAGAGGAGCCAATAAGCGTGAAGGCTGCTGGGGCAGCTGGAGTGGAGCCCAGCGCCTCTCTCCTGCCTTCTCCCTGGGGCTCCTGTCCCTGGTGGCACGGTACCAGGACCCCCCAGACCCAGGGCCGCTGGCCTGAGGGAGCCCTCTGTCACCTCGTTCTTCCACCTCGAGCTGCGACACACATGACAAGGGCATGCGTGGCACCTGCGAAGATGCTTCTCCGCGCAACAGGTGCGTGCAGGGCGCGGGTTAGGGGTTGGTGTCCGGGGACGGACAGGGGCCCAGGTGGGAGGCGGGCCTGTGTCTGAAGATACACTCGGACGCCCAAAGGGGTGCGGTACCAGACTGGAGCGATCCTCGCTTCACACCTGTGAAGTGCACAGAGCAGGGGGCCGTTAATAATAATGGTAATTTCTGAGCTCCTGCGGAGTGCCAGGCGTGGTGCCAGCCTGGGGTACCGTGAATGGGAGTACGGCGCTGACCCAGGCAGACGTGGTCTGGGCCTTGGAGCTAAAGTCTTGCTGAAAGGACAAACATGAAGCAGATAAAAACTACAGTCTTGACGAGTTATTATATGAAGAGAAGTGCAGGTTCTCCTTCCTTTGTAAGTTACATTAGATCCGGGCTTGTCTTGATTCCCGTCGTGCACCTGAAACTCAGGCCAGTGAGGAGCAATAGACCCGTCCAGGGCCAATAACATTTGTTTGCAGAACCGATAGCCTACTGCCTCCACTATCAAAGGTGTGGTAGCAGGGGTGTGGGTGGGGGTGTTAACCAGCACAAGTATGTGTCAGAGAAAGAGAAAATATGAGGCTTGCGTGGCCTTCATTTATTCATTCAACAAAAATTGTTGAGAGCGTACTTCGTGTCAGGCCCGCCCTTTGGGCTGGTTGGAGGAGATTCAATATGGGAATACATGATGAGCAAGAGAGACACGGTGTCAGAGGTCCTGGAACTCACAGCCCAATTGGGAGAGACAGGAACAAATAATTACCCACGAAACACATAGTTACAATTTTGTGTTGAGCACTGAGAAATACACTAGAAATACACTCTAAATACATTCGAGTTTGTAATTTAGAAAGTGATGTTTAGGTTAAGGACAGAAGGATTTAAAATTTAGGGGTTTAGGAGGGTGTACTGGCAGAGCAAGGAAAGGAGTATGGAGTGTGTACAGGAACTGGAAGAATGCCTTCCAGGCCGGAGAAGGAGGCTAGGGCCATGTAGGAATTATAGAGTTGGGAAAACCACAGTTTTGAATTAAGCCTTGCACTTTGTATTGGTTCTTGAAGACCAGGTGTAGTGATTCAGATCGTGCACTCTGAAGCCAGATTCTGTCAAGCTGAGTTTTGCCCCATACTTGGTGTGTAAAATTGGGCAAGGTACTAAATTATTCTGTGCCTCAATTTTTTTTCATCTGTAAAATGGGGGTGATAACATTACCCACTTCACAGGTGGTAGTGAAGATTACACGATATTGAAGGTCAGAGCACATAGAGAGGTGTCTGGCATGTAGCAGGTGTTAATAATGTTTGGTTAAATAATCAGTATTAAAGGTTTAGAGAGAGTCCCTTGTGAAATTTGTGCACTTAAGTGGATTACACTAGGCTTTTAGTCCTGCAGATTTCAGTTGCTATTGATCACATCTGTAGCACTGTTGAATTAGAAATAATTTTCCTCATACTGACTGCTATTTGCTAAGAGAATCTAAAGTGCTATCACGATTATCAGAGATAAATAAAATTCTTTTCAGTAGCACAATACAGTTAGGTTGACTTAATATTTTTTGGTAATATTTTTTGTAAACTTTAAAAAAGAAATTGATTATAAAATAGTTTAGACATTAAAAAAACAATACAGAGAAATAGTATAACTAGAGCATGCCTTTCCTTGACTCTCTGTTGGATGGTTTTTATAATTTCAGGTCTTCTCTGCCTCAGTTTCCCATGCCCTGTGGGTCTACAAACAACACAGCAGGGAGAGGGAGGTTGGGTTTGGAATTGTAAAGAACGTAAAGCAGTAGTTTCCAGCATGAGCTGCACGTCAGCA